CCAGACCCCTGGAAGGATCCAAAAAGAAGATCATTGGAGTGGGTTCCTATGAAGTACCATTGAGTAGTATGGGCTTCCAAATCAGTGCTTGATTTGTGGTGCTCCAATTTCGGCCAATAATCGAATCGCACTGCTACGATTTCGCCCATGAACACGTGGTTATTTTGTGTTCTTTGTCATGGTCAGGACTCTTGGCCAGGTTGGTGTGAAGGCATTCGCATGTTTGTGGCAACTTACAAGTCCAGCCCAAACACTACATGCCATGCCTAAAGAAAGGCTGTGCCAAAGTCCAGCCCGCCGTTTACAGGGCCTAAACCCAAGACCCCAAGCCCAAAACCCAAGCCGAAAAAAAACCCAAACCAGACATCCACAACCCTAGACCCAAAACCACCNNCAAAATTAGGGTCCCTTTTGGGGGTACCCTAAATGATAGGTGCCGTATTTTAATAAGGAACCAAAAAGGGACCATAATTTTGAAAACCACCCACCTGAACAAACCCAGAGCCTCGTCGTCTTCCACCTCCTCATCGAGTGCTTTGGACATGGCTCGCGTGACGTCCTCGCCCAATCGAGGGTTCAAAGTATGGGAAATCTCCACTACGAGGTCTGAGGAATCAGATCTCCTTAAGTCCTCACAGAAAAAAGCCTGAATCGTCATGGTCGAGGGCTGGGTTCAGAGTGTAGGCATACACGGCTCAGGAGGCAGCACTAGGCTGGAGTTAGCCAGCTTAGGGTGGCATAGATCTTATAGCCTGAACGTATTCCGATTCGGATTTATTATATTGTGGCCGAGTGGGTGGTAGGAAAGATTTCTTCGCCAAGAACCAAAACGTCAGGTCAGTCAGTCTCAACTGTGCGGCCGGGATGAGAAGACCCAAACCCTTAGTATAATCTTGAATCCCGAACTGGAAGTTCTAGGGTTTAGGGTTTAGGGTTCAGGGTTTAATCTTGAATCCCGAACTGGAAGTTCTAGGATGCCAAAAAGACAGGGACGCTGACATGTAACGGAGTGCTGACGCGAAATGTCGTCTCTTCAAGGCTTGCAACCTGGTCAAAGGAAACTACAGGTGGGGAGTTTAGGGTCTATAGGGCTTCTATAAGGCTTCTATAAGGTATATAGACCTTCTATAAGGCTCCTATAGCGGAAACTACCCACCTGAAAATGTCCTAGACCTGGAGGAGAACCCGCTGCAACAGCTTGGAGATGTTCTTGGTCTGTTTGCCCTCTTTGGTCATTGGGCGGTTGCTTTGTAATGGAAGCCACCCAGAAAGAAGTCGAACTTTGAAGACTCGAATGCGCCGCCTTCCAAACCCTTCAAGCCCCAAGGAAACATAAACTCTAAACAAGGAAACCCTAAACTCTAAACCCTAGACCCTAAGCCCCAAACTCTAGTGTCTAGCCCTAAAACCCAAACCCTAAACTTCAAGCCCTAAGCCCTAAACCAAGCCCCCAAGCTGCTCATCCAGGAAAAAATGTCCTCTGCCGCATCGACGAGCTGGCCTAGGGAGCTTGGGAAGCCTTTAAAGTTTAGGGTTTGGGGATTTGGGTTTAGAGTTTAGGGTTTAGGGGTCTAGGGTTTAGGGTTTAGGGTTTAGGGTTTAGGGTTTAGGGTTTAGGGGTTCAGGGCTCCTTTCAGGGTTCCTTAAAGGGGGGTTTGGGAAGCGTAAACCTAAAACCTAAGCTTCAGCGCCGTTCGATTCTCAGGGCTGAGAGTTTAGACGGCAGCTTCAAGGCTTTGAGCTCGGATCTTTCACAAGTTACAAGCTTGAGGTCTAGTGTATCTTAGTGTGTGTGTGTATATATACATATGTATATATATATATATAGGGTTTAGGGTTTAGGGTTTAGGGTTTAGGGTTTAGGGTTTATAGGGTGCAGCGTGACCTGGGGCAATGAGGTTTAAAACGTGGGCCGACAGGCTCTTGGTGGTTGCACGGCTTACACTTGTTCCATCTTTTGTCCTCTGGGGCTTTTGTTGAAAACACCAAGCCTTAAAGCCTATGCAAACGGAAAGCCTGAAAGCTGTAGCCGCAACCTTTGCGGTTCAGGCTACAGTGCTCGGCGTTGCGGCAAAGATTCGAGGATAAAATTCAGAGTTTAGGGAGGTCTGCGGTTGAAGCTCGACATGGAGAGAGGGGCCTTCGAGGAGTATAGTGGTGCCTGATTCCAAATTCACTCAACTGGGGCCGTGCTCCAATGCACTTCGAAGGGTCAGATGAGTTCATACGTCGGCTGTAGGTAGGGATGCAGCAACCAGGGTACTTCTACCGTCCAACCCACTTGCTGTTGTTAAGCCAGGAGCTGGCTCTCATGGTGAATCTGTAGTTGGGCTGCGCCTGCGCACCCTGCATTCATCCCCAAAACATTAAAACAGATGATAGAAAGTATGCCTCAGTCAACCTCTGCTGAAAGAAGTAACCAAGGCCAACCGGAGCACCTCCCATTTTGGGGCTCGGGGGCGCTAAACCCAAAAGTCCAAAAGTCTGGGAAATCCCCCTAGTCCCTAAACCTCCAGAGCCCTAATCCCTAAACGCTGAAGCTCCACCCCTCTCCCCTGCAAACCCCTAAGCCCTCAAATCCCTAAAGCACTCAGAGCTGAGAGCCATGGCCCATCAAGGACGCTGGCTTATTGCTGGGATGATCCTCGGTGATGAATTGACAAGTTCAGCACTTGAGATTCTGGATAATTGGAAAAGGGCACTTGGGTCACATTATACTATATCTTTACGTGAAGGACTACTTTGATTCTCAGGGGCTTTGATCATGGTCTCACAACATTTCTTCGTGACAGAAACAATGTGACTACTCAATCTCTGATCCCCACTCCCCCAGACTTCCGACACAAGAGTCCCACAAACCCCAAGCAGCGTCCCCGAACAAGGGGCCTCACAGAAACCTTCTTTATAGAATCCTTCCGGAACCCTTATGTATAGAATCCTGAAAGGAACCCGGATTCCACAAAAGGAAGGACACACAACGGCAATTGAGCGCAGCCGCAGGATGTCCAGCCCCGTCATGCCCCGCATGCCTCAGCCGGGTGCGAGGTGGCTTGTTGCTAGAGCTTGTGTGGAAGTATAGGGTTTTATGTATTTAGGGTTCAGTGCTCGGGGTTTACGGTTTAGTCACAGGTTTTCGGGCTTAGAATCGCGCATTTCATTTGTGGATTTTCGCATTGGTGGCTAGTCACTAGTCGATTCGAAGAATACGGAAAACAGACGAAAACAATCACCTTCTGGGCCTTGATTTGTTTGTAGCTCACAAAAACCATTGCGGCCCAAAACAACATATGCAGGATCACAATGAGGAGCTATGAATATGTAGGCTTCTTGGGCTACATACACTGTACCTTAACCTACCAAACCCCCGCTTTTTGTGGGTTCTTATTATACACCCGATTTATATAGGGACCCTTCCAAAAAAGGTAGGCTCTGGTGGGTTAAGGTAGACTCTCCATCCTGAAACACCAGGCCAAAAACACTGAAGGCCTCAGGGGCTTGGGAATCCCCGAAACTTTCAAAAAGGGGTTTTGGGTTCAGGGTTCAGGGTTTAAGGTTAAGGGTTAAGAGTTCCGGGTTTAGGGTTTTTTGTTGTTAGCACCTTTTTCCGTCCACTATCGCTAGCCTCCGAAATCCGCACTTTGCGAAAAGCAACCATGCCCAACCCTTTCGCCCGACTCAGTTCTCACCCTTGCCCTCGTCTTCAGCTTCTGGCCACACCACTAGTTCCGTCATCTCTTCTGTACCGCTGACAGCCCTTCCTGGTTCCAGCGACGAAAAGTGCCAACTACTTCGGCCTATAGATCTGAACGGCGTGTCATCCTTCAAGGCACTGCTTTCCCACTGCTCGTAGAGGGCCTTCACGATCTCGAAAGGGATTTTCAGGGGCAGTTGGAGAGTGCAGTGTTCCGGGATCGTTGGTGGCTCCTCCAACGGGTCTCGGTACGGCCTCATGTCAAGATCTGTGGTAGCAATGGCCAGACAGCATCTTGCCCCAATCGGCGCCACATTTCGAACAGAACCAACCACTCCGCTCCAAACTGAGCCACCACGTCTTCCTCTGAGAGATGGCCATTCCTCCATTGTCCGTACACCGACCCGAAGAGGCCGTAGCTGACTCTCGGGGTGCCCGAGGAGAGTTCTCACCGCAGAAGCTTCCGTTGCCAAAGACGAACATTGTCCCTCACCACATCACTGTCTTGCTGGACTTGCGCATCCGGGATTCCTGGTGCAGGATCCACCCGCCCTGCCTTCGAACGGGTCCTTCGACGAATCCAGCTCTTCCGCACTGCTTTCTGGGCTTGCAACAAGTCACCCACCTCATCGCCGTACTGTCGCTTGATCTGTGTCAGAGTGAGGCGTGCCGACTCCCAGTACTGGTAGTCCTTCTCGTAGTCTTCGAACTCCAGAAGCGGAAAAACCCTTGGTTGCATGTCCGCCGTGGCCACCATGCTCATCATGCTATCCGTCTACACACTCCGCTATCCTCGGCCTCGTGGCAAGTGCTTGACAGTCTCGCTCCTCCTCCTCCTCCTCCTCCTCCTCCTCCTACTCCTCCTCCTGGTCGTCAATCAGCTGCTGGAGGTCCCGTTCACTAATTTCTCCCTGTTGACCGGGCTTCGCCTCCTGCGAGTCCACCTCGATCGGCTCATGGACCAAGTTAAAGTTGGGCAAGAAGGCGACGAGCTCCACCTGCCACTGGTTGAGCCAAGTCACATCCACCTCTGCACTGCATTGGACGCCTGAAGTGTCTTGCAGCATCGCCACCAGCAAGGCATTCATCTGAGCCCACCAAACCCCTTATGCTGATGGATCTGCGCAACCGGCGGATACACTCCTTGCCGGTGGCTTTGCTGAGGGCCGCCAGTTCTTTTTGGAGTCGTACCATTGCACGGGCCCATCGCTTTTCACTCGTGTCCTTTCCCTCCGTCGCCATGAAGGTCTGCATGAGGAGCTCCTCGTCATTTTCTTCGGCTGCACCAGAGTCGTCGCCTTGATTAATTCTGAAGCACCACGCTATTTCCATGCAGCTCAGGTCCGAAATTGGAGCTATAGAAAAGCATCTGTCGCCACGTGCCGACCGCCTGTGTGTGGGTAATCGGTTGTGTCAGGTTGGGGAAGCCGGAAGGCGGAGGAGGTAGTGCAGGTCGTGTCGCTCCATCCCGACTTTTGGAGCCTGCGCCCCGTCTCTGTTGGACACCGAAGCTTTTTCCAGAACAAAAGTGACCCAGTGGCCGGGTCTCCGCGCCCCGTCCCCATGAGGTTCACGTCCACACGCAGCACGGGCGGCAAGACGGTCTGCCTGAAGCCAAGGTGCGAGGAGCATTCTCCATGGGTTCTGGAGTCCAGGATCCTTCTGCGACCATTTCGGTACCGATCTGCCATCAGGCTCCAATCCTGAAAAGTCCAACATCGTCGGGGCTGCATCACTGGAGTTCTGACTCCACCCCCCCTCTTAGGACCAGTCTGTGGCATCGATCAGGTCCAGGTGGTCCTCCAACGCCGGGTCTGGCCTCGACCTTAGCGAGGCGGTCCGACATCTCCCGCATCTGTTGTTGCATTTCTTCAAAAGCACCTTGCTCCAAGCGCTCCAATCGACTGTCGAGCTTCGAAGGCAGCCAGGGACGCGACTCGAACGAAACAAACCCTCGAGCCTTGAGCCAAGAGCCAGAATGGCTTGAGCCAAAAGGGTTTAGGGTTTAGGGTTTAGGGAAGTCCCGAAACTTTTGAACAAAGAAAACGCATCATTGAAGCATTGGGTTCTTGAGCTTCGAAGGAGTCTGAATCCTACATAGCCAGCAACGTACTCGCCAGGGTGGCCTAATTTTCTTAGTACTTATGGATGGAAGAAGCTCCCTCAAAAACCTAGTCTAGTTATTCGCCCCTGAACTCTTTAACCCGAAACGGCCTCGAGGAAATGCTTTTTGGGATTGTTTAGGAGTAACTAAGTATGCAAGGTTCAGCTGTCGGGGCAATGCTGCTTCATGCAGGGCTTTGCTGCGCTCTCATAGATTCTCGGACTAGCTAGGATTAGGATGCGGAGTTTAGGCTTTATGGTAAATTGTCCCATATCCTAGTCTACTTGGAGGTTCATGAGACTTCGTAAGTACAGTTATAAGCACCTTGATTGGGGTTATAAGTAAAAGTATAGTTACCTTACATATGACCCTAATTACTAAGGCCCATGACCTTTAAGTAGGGGAACTAAAGGCCAATCTTTTTGATTATACTAGTACAGTCTTAGTACAGTAGCCCAACAAGGTTCAACGGTACCGACTCAATAGGACTCTAGGCCCCAGGATTTACGGCGAGGGCTTCAAAGCCTTACAAGTCGGGCTGCAGGATGTGAGGGTTTGGGGTTTAGGGTTTAGGGTTTGCCGAATTTAGGTCGGAATCCTGCTCCGATTCCGCGGGGAAACGACCTTAAGCGGACTCTGAAGCAGCTAAACTGGAGGGACTCGCATGGAAATATATATATATATATATGGTACCCCCCCCCATGTGCCTACCTTCCTCTCTCATTTAACTCGACTTGGACCTCAACCAGCCTCCTGGGGTCCAGGGTCTGGGGTTCTCGGAGCTTCATGAGCATCTAGCTTTATGGCATCAGGAGCATCTTTGTATGCCGTCATGAGCATCGTACGCGTGTACAGTCTTTCGTCCT